AGTGTCTTAGTTCTTTAATCAGGTACAGTAGAGCCCTTTCGACCACCTCCCATCAAAATAACAGATTTTGATTGGATGGTAGTATTTTCCGCCTTTTATATCCACAAGATCAGACAAATCAACATACAAATTGATTTCTTAATTGTATTGGACACTTTTCATGATTATTCCACCATGTGTGCATAGTTAAGCAATCCAAATATTCTTCCCAACATACAGACGTTAGACCACCTAATAGCCAAATTGATAGAGAATAACGTAAAAATAAAATAAAAATAAACTAATTTAGCAATGAAAAAGATGATACCGGTAGCCCCTATATTGCATAAACCTAGCCCATGCATCAAAAGACATATTGAGTGGCTTGACCCTACCCAGTTGACAAAAATTTGACAAGAAATTTATCTTATTGTATCGGTTCATATACATCTTTAAAAACGTCATTCTTGTAATTAACATATGCTCCATATTGATATGAAAGTAATCAATAAGATGAATGGATAATCATAGCTTAATGCTTTGTTCTTTAAAACATTAGTTCAATGAGGAACCCGTAACAGGTATCTTTCAAATACACGGAAAAAAAGCGTGCATAACTGTGAGGCTCACTGGTGTACTTATATATATATATATATATATATATATATCAGTATTTGCAATGCAATAAAGTAAAAATTAGTTTTGTCCGAATGCATATGTAATAAAACTCACCTGCTCAGCAGTGTACATATCTCGAAATGGATTACAGGTGAAAAATGTATCCAAATCAATGTCTAGAATGAATGGGCTATTGTAGACAACTCCAATAACATCAATGCAGACTTTGCATAGCGTATTGGCCTCATGAATAGTTGAAACTGTCAGACCAAATCGTCTGGCTGAATCAAGATCGCCTAGGAGAGCGTAGAGGCAATCATTGAAGAAATAAGGCTCAGGAATGTCGACACTATTAAGAGAAATGTGGGGAAAATTCATCAAAAATAGAGTGTTGAGTATGTCTAATATGGACGAAGCTAAAATAACGGAGGTCTATAGGCAAGCATAAGGAGCCAGTAAAAAAGCTCCTTTAATAAAATGAACATAATTATTGATACATATAATAAGAATGCATGGTGGTCCAAATTTCGGTTAAAATTGAGAGGGAACAGGAACAAATATATTGATTGCACACTCTTGATAATATGCTACGCATCAAGTTGTAAAAATAAGGGTCCGCAAATTATTTTGAGAAAATACCCTCCAAAACTAATTTAACCTAATTTACAAAATAAAATGTATTAACAAGGCAACAAAATTGGGTCAGAAAAAGTCATGGCAGGAAATCTATTCATGCTGAACATAGTGACTATGGGCAATATGGTGAAAATATTTCCAAAAAAATACTACCAAAAAAGTGTTAAATTTCGCCGAGGATAAAATAAACCTGCAGTAGCATTCTAGACATGAAACGGTAAAATAAAATTAAATAATGAAAAAACTTGAACTACTGAACCAAACAACACATTTAAGCCTGTACAATGAGTGGTAGTGAGCAAGAGTACACGAGGACAACAAAGGTTTAGTGAGCTCTGCTTTTACTGAATAATATTAACTTATCAAAAATTCGGTTCGACTTAAAGTACTACAGACAACATAAAACCTATCAGTAAACAAGAAAATTTAAGTTTTCAATCAGGACATCAATAAATACTAGTTAGGTACTCACGCCAATCGATTCGTGGCTCGGTTAATCCCAATATGATAATAAGTTGATTTTCGATTTTTCAATTGCCTTGACCATTCTGGATGAATCCATACCACATGATCTATATGACCACTAAATACAGCTGGGAGGATCCAGTCCTCAATATTAAGCTTGCTAGAAAGCGACATAAGAATGAATAAACTCACTTCAAAATGGCAAGTGGGTCTGTTTTATAGAGAGAACCTTCTATATCAGGCAAG